AGCTGCCTAAGCTTTTATCATACGAACATATGAACATGGCTAGATCTTTAACCCAAATCTTTTTACATGGAAATAATTGTATCAATATAGAAAATCGGCCAAAAAATAGTCGTTAAGCGGCAAAAGTTTTTTAAACAAAGAATTCGTCTTAAATACGAGGCAGGTCAACTTGAAAATACTTTTTAGGGCTAATTTTTCTATAGTGGGGAGCAGTTGTAGCCTTGAGAGTATTAAATTTGGTCTTCGTCGAGTTGAATGAATTTTCCAACAGAACAATGATCCTGAGCATAGGGCCCATATCGTGAAGGATTGACTACTGTATTATGCTCCCCAAAAAATATGTTCACCTCCACAAATCCCGGGCTTAAATATTAAAGAGCACGTTTGGGAAATTATGAGAAAATGGCCGTAAGCAGTGGCGGATCCAGAATTTGGTTGTGGGGGTTGTTAAGTAGAAATCAATAATTTGGAATAGAATACATATTACATATACACTCAGGGAAAAACACCGTGCTAAAAACAAGTACAAACAGCCTTGATTTAAGAAAAATGGCATGCTTAACATTTAAGAACGTTCGTGCTCAAAAATTCTCATATTGAGCACTTTTTATATTTTTAATGTCTGCCAACTCTAATAATTCCCAACTGTTTATTCTGAAAGTACTCGGTATATAAGGCGCATAAATTAGACAGTTTTAATGGCCGTGAACGGCAAGTCGTAAGTAAACTTAAAATATTATTATTATTTATATATATCCGATTATTTCGTTTCAGTTTCCAATACATATTTCTCTTACTAGCATAAAATAAAAACTCATTTTAATTTCATTATATTTATATACTGATTTAAGAATTATTCGTCCTTAAATCATGCCTGCAACTTTTTACTTTATTATTAAATCGTTCTTGTTTTTAGTCCAAATATGACTTGATTTAAGAATTATTCATACTAGATTCAAGACCGAAAGGTTCTTAAATCTAGAATTTTGGGTCTTGAAAATTCGTGCTCGAAAGTAGTATTTCGTTCTCGCGTTCTGTATTTTCCATGCTTGGCGAAGTTTTGACACCGAAAATACTAGGTTCAAGCACGAAATACTTGATTTTTTTCTGAGTGTACTTTTTAACTGGAGTGGGGGGATCTATACCCTATATCCCCCGTGGATCCACGCATGGTCTTAAGCCTCTAGTAAGACTGAGTGGGAGCAGACTGCTTGATGCATCGTGCGTTCCTAGAAGAAATCAGAGGTCTTGTTAGAAACAATTAAATTTCTTAAAAACAAACAAGGAAGAACGCTACAGCCGAATGCCTCGACGATCAGATACCCGTTACTCAGCTAGTTCAATCGATAGGTATTGACGAGACTAATACACTTTATCTAAAATTTATTTCTAGCATGAAAACTGTTGGCGCCACAGTTTTGGACGGAGTGAGGGTGGCATTTTCGCGTAAAATACTTGCACTGCAAGCAAAGCAAAGGGAATCTATATCTGAAATCCCAATTTGATGGCTCCGAGATATCAGCGTTCAAATTTACGATTTTTTCGAAGTTTGTGGGCGGCTTTTGGGCATTAGAGTGGGCGTTAACAAATTTTAGGTCGATCGAAAGGTATTGACGATAACTATACATTTCAGTGAACATTTTTTTCTAGCCACAGTTTTGGGCGGTTTGTGTGCGTCAGAGTAGGCGTGGCATGACGTAACAAACTTGCGAAAATAAGGAGCCCAAATCTGAAATCGTATCCCTTTAACACGTATCGTTTCCGAGATCACAACGTTCACACGCACAGACGGACAGGCAGGCGGACGGACGGACATGGCTAGATCGACTCGGCTAGTGATCCTCTTCAGGAATATATGAACTTTATGGGGTCGAAAACGCTTCCATCTGCCTGTTACATACTTTTCCCCGAATTCAATATACCCTTTCACTCTACGAGTAACGGTTATAAAAATAATTTTCTTTGGCCAAGTCCTGATACTTATTTACTGAATAGTATAGGTGAAAAAAATTGTAAGGCAATTCAAAAATGTAATCCCAAAAATGTGTTCGGGTTGTAAAAAATCAGCCCATTTGTAATAATTTGTATATTTATAGCCTTATAACTGAATTTTACCGTTTTACATGGTATAACGAATATTTTTCATCAAAAACAAGAGATGGCCTTAACTATTAGATACCCTTTACTCAGCTTAAGGGAGTGCGAGAGGGATGGAGATATGATTAAAGCAACTCTGATTTTTTCACTAACACACCTAGCCTATAGCGCCACCTACCTACTTCTTTTAAAGCGCCAGTCTATAACGCAGCGTTATTAACGGCCCAAAAGGCTTTGTGGCGTATTAGTGAGTGTTAATGACTAGTCCGATTTCAATCCTTTTTGGCATGTATATGGGTATTGATAAGAAGAACCAAATCTCATTTTAATTGTAAAAAAAGTTTTAAAAATGTGGACGGTGGACGGGTTTTAGTGTTATGTCACCCTGCTGAAACAAAGTTGCGCTGCGCAGGAAGCCCAAGGATCTGCATGCCATGTACCACCATTCTAGCTCTTATAGTTTCCAAGATCTCAGCGTTCATACGGACAGACGGACATGGCTAGATCGACTCGGCTAGTGATCCCGATCAAGAACATATCTATACAGATAAAAAAAATTTCAAAACTGGTCATTATTCGGGTATTTTTGCGTGTCAATTTTGGTTCATGTTGCCATGTAATATTGATATTTTGGAAAATATCAAATTGATATTTTCGAACATATCAATACGATATTTTTCATACCATTAATATATGCCCACATATCAAATTTGTGACCATACTATGGTGTTTTTAATACCAGTATGGTATTTTGAAAATTCAATTTATATAAAACTGATATTCATTCATATCAAACTTTCATATCATACTGATATTCTTTCATATCAGATTGATATGTTGGTAGTATCATTATTAACCAGTTTTGTTTTAACTTTTTGCATCTTGTATTTTAATAAATATTAAAAATCCATAAGTTTGTTTTAATTTTTACTTTATATATATTTCGGATCAAATATAAGAAAATTTCGAGGACTTAGCAATAAATGACCGATCACGCTGTACTCGGATGCCTCCTATAGCTTTGCATCACCACACGGGAGTCCTTCTGCTGTCCTCGATAGAAGTTTCCCATCGAAGTGTTGGACGCCAACTTGCACAGCTCGACATCCAGTGTTGGGGAAAATGTATATTACAGGTAGAAGGACGCGATTCCGACCCCATAATGTGTATATATACTTGATCAGGACCCCTATCAGAGTCGAACTAGCCATGTCCGTCTGTCCGTCCGCATCAAACACGACACTAGGTGGCGCTGTTGCAGGGTGTTCCATCTTGTGAACAGTCGCCTTGCTACTTGCTTATCTTCATCTCCCTCGCACTCCCCTTAGCTGAGTAACGGGTTTTTGATAGTCGAGTCCTTCAACTATAGAGCTCTCTCTCTGTTTTTAAAATGAAATAACTAATTTTTTGGCCGCATATGTATGGCGGGAATTTGTGTAGAAAAACACACATGCAGCAGCAGCTACGAGTGAACGCGCCGCAATTTAAATTTTGAGTCAAGCGCATGAATATTAAAATGCATAAAATGAAAAAGCACAAATGCAAATAAGGCAAGAAGAGCACTCATCTGCGTTCGTATGAGAGTGCCTTGCACAAATGCATGAGTGTAAATGCAGCAGACAGTTGGCGTTAAATATGCGCTTTTCCCATAGTCACACACCGATGGGAGTGTGTGTGTATTAAGAACCTGGGCGGTACATAGAAATGCGGGAAATTAACCTCACAAGAGTTTGCAGTTAATATAAAAAAGGTTATGTGTTGAAAGGCTGTCTTTGCTTGAAAAAGCTGCAGCTACTTATTCCACCGGCACGCGAAAATTGGTTATCTTTGCCAGCAGTTATGACATTTTGTTATTGCTCGCGGAGAGCTATGCAAATTGCCTGAAAATTCAACCACACAATGTGAGCTTGAATGCGGCACTGTCGGAATGGAAACAAAAAGAAAATCGCGGGCGGAGTGCATATGGCTAAGCCTTCAGCTGAGGCACCGCAGGATATGGTCCTAGCCTCCGTTCCATCTTCGTCCTTCCAGTTTCTGCTGCGCTGCGAAATCGCACAATTTTGCACTTGGGCAAACATGAACTTGGAGAAGGAACTCCGCGTCACGCCTCCACCCTACAATAAAGTCACGTGTTACACTTTGGAAAAGTATTGTACATTTTACAAATATACATAAACCAATTTTGTACTCTACGCATGGTGCCGATAAGAATTTACCCAATCCGTTACTCATAACATTGAAATTTAAAATTTTTAACAACATTGAACACTCAATATTTTAGAACTTTGCCTTTTTTTAAAATATCTTTCAACAATTACTCAATTACTACTTAAGCTAAATTCTGCTGCATTTCGTTGATTTTGCAGCTTTGGCGGTTAAAGTTGGCCCAACTATCTTTCTTTTTGAAAAAGTCTTTATCCTCTGTTACAATTCATTTTCCCGTCCTCACGGAAAAACCAGGCATTTGACCCCTTTTCGTTTTCACGTGACTGACTTCTAGTTTTGGCAAGGATTTCAGCTTACATTTCAGTTAATTAGCGTGTTGTCAGCTGCACTGCTATTAAGGTAATAGAAGGAGCCCAAGTACTCGTATGTCTTGCTGATCACATAAACTTAAATACTTCTAAATATATAACTCTATAATCATAATTTAATTTAAGTTACGCAAATGCGCTGCAAAATGTACTTAGTGGGAATTTTCTTTACATTAACATTCATCAAATGGAGACATCAACATGTTACCCAGTCTTTTATTCAGTCTTCTTAGTACTCCGTTTTTATTTTGCCTTGCATTGGAAGAATAAATAAATAAACTTACGGGTATCTAATCAATTGTGCGTTATTGCAGTGCTAAATTTAATGAAAATAATATTTCGATACACGAAACGGCCGTCCCATCGTTCTGAATTTTCCGTCACCAAAACCTTTGGAACAGATCCTACACACACCTTTGAAATTACTAGAGCATTTTCACTGTCTTCCTTGTATACATATTTAGGTTTGTTAATTTCGATAGTCCAGATGCAGAACTCCGGACGTGGTGCGGACCACTTCAACTTTATCACGCGGACGGACCGCAAAAGTCTGCACACGCAGATCGGCCTCTTGGTGACCAAGGCAAAACAGGTGGCCGCAGCCGAGCTGCAGGAACGCAGCCAGAGGCTGAAGAAAATGTTGGACGAGGAGGACAAGCGCTACGAGGAGGAGTTCTCGAACACGGTGAAGACCCGAATCGACCAGGACATCAAGGAGCGAAAGGAGCACTTGCACGCCATCAAGGAGCAAGTGGCCAAGCAGCAAAAGAAGTTTCTGGAGGAGAAGCACATCCAGCAGGTTATGCTCGACTGCTACGAGATCCGGGAGGCTCTGCGGCAGCAGGATCTCGTGGAGACAAAGATTGTCCAAGAGGAGCAAATTCTGGAGAACCAGCGGAAGAAGCGGCGTGAGTGCCAGCAGGACCAGTATTGGCTAGAGCTGAATCGCCGCCGGTGGGCCCAGTTCGACTGTAACCAGGCGGAGGAGAACCTGCGACGCCATCAGATGCAGGAACAGGTGAATCATGTCCTGGCCATCCAGGTAGCCGAGCACGAGGAGAAACGCAAGGAGGCGGAGGCGGAGCGGGACGAGGAAGAGCGCGTTCTAAACGCCCTGCTGGAGGAGATCCGCCTGGAGGAGTTCGAGAAGGAACACCAGCCCGCTCCATTGGACCAGCTGGCCTACCAGGCCGAGCTGCTCAAGGAGATAGAGCGAAAGAGGTGCGCCCGTCTGGCGGAGTGGGAGGCGGACAGGGCCGACCACCTGGCCTTCTGCCGGGAAACGGAGCGTCTGGAAGCGGAAGCTCGTGCCCGGATTGCCCAGTCCAAGAAGGACCTCAACCGAGCTACTTTGGAATACCTGGCCTACCTCAGACGCATGCAATCGCTCGAACTCGGAATCGAGAAGATGATGGACGAGCGCACCGCCGATCTCTACCAGTTGGACATGTGCACAAAGGTCAACATCACCGAAAGGGTTCGGGTGAAACGGGAGGCTGCGGAGAAGTGCTACGATATCCTCCGGAAACAGGTCTGCGAGGACTACGAACGCAGAATCCGGTCTGATGCTGAGCTTCGGGAGAACAAAATGATGGAGAACCGGTTTGTTCATCCGGAGGTCACTCATCAAATGATTGTGTGCCGCCAGATCCGATATAAGGCGGATTTGGATGCACAAATCACCGAGATGAAGCGCATCCAGGCGGAGGAAGAGAAAAGATTTGACAGTCGTCTGATGGCCGCTGTGGATAATCCAATTGCCTGCAAGAGATTAGCCAAGGAGATTCTAGAAAAGGGAATTGATTACTTGGCGCCGCATCCCAACTGGAGGGTTATGGCCTGCAATCCCAATAAGTACATTCTCAGACCGCCGACCACCGAGCAGGAGTACAATGCCGAGTGGCCGGTGCCAGTGTGGACAAATGTCCTTGTCCCAGGGAAGCGCGGAAGCACTGCGGCTTCATGACTGACCTGGGATGTGCCTCCCGAGGGAGCCAAGACCCAAGTGGAGCAAGGTGCGATTGAGCCGGCCCAGAAACCACAAAAACCTGGATTCCGTAACTGTCACTGCAAATTTTATTAGAGTTGTTCGGAAAAAGTATGTTTAAAGCAATTTAAAATTGAGTTATAAGTTAAGAGCTGAGGCTATTAAAAGTAACAGTTTTATCATTCTAAACTCGCATACATTTAGTGTTATTAAATGAATTTAGTACCGTCTATTCTTACCCTACACATTCGGTTAAACACTGCCTACAATAGTAGGCATAAGTATTTTTATACCCGTTACTCGTAGAGTAAAAGGGTATACTAGATTCGTGGGAAAGTATGTAACAGGCAGAAGGAAGCGTTTCCGACCCCATAAAGTATATATATTCTTGATCAGGATCACTAGCCGAGTCGATCTAGCCATCAATGGAAAGGTAATTTAATGTAATGTGGCATGTTCGTGTAAAAAACTTGCGTACGAAATTGAGAAATATAAAATCGCAACTCTCTAGCTCGTATAGTTTCCGAGATCACGGCGATCACACGGCTAGTGATCCGAATCAAAAATATATATACTTTATCGTCGGAGGCGCTTCCTTCTACCTGATACATACTTTTCCCCGAATACAATATACCCTTTTACTATACGAGTAACGGGTAATAAAAGGGATTCATGCAAACCCACATGGACAAACATTTTTATTTCGAAAAGTTACCAAAATAAGTACTAAATGTAGAGTAAAAGGGTATACTAGATTCGTCGGAAAGTATGTAACAGGCAGACGGAAGGGTTTCCGACCCCATAAAGTATATATGTTCTTGATCAGGATCACTAGCCGAGTCGATCTAGCCATGTCCGTCTGTCCGTATGAACGCTGAGATCTCGGAAACTATACAAGCTACAATACTGGGATTAGGCATGCAGATTCCTGAGATTCCTGCGCAGCGCAAGTTTATTTTAGTAGAGTGCCACGCCCACTCTAACGCCCACAAACCGCCCAAAACTGTGGCTCCTACAGTTTTGATGCTAGAATAAAATTTTTAACTGAAATGTATTGTTCTCGTCAATACCTATCGATTGACCTAAAAAAAAGTTTGCCACGCCCACTCTAACGCCCATAACGCTTAAATCTGTCTACCGCCGGTAGGTGGCGCATTTCAATCTTGCTTTGATGCTTGAATATCTCCATTTCCCTTTGGTTCCTTTAGCTGAGTAACGGGTATCTGATAGTCGAGGTACTCGACTATAGCGTTCTTCCTTGTTTTTAATTCTATAGCACTAGAATTCTAGGACATATGGACTTAATTTAAGTAATTATTGGCATACAAATGAAGTCTACCATTAACCTGAAAAGTAAAAAAAATATATTTCTTAAAAAGATTTTAGTCTATTTTAAGTTCATAGTTCATTTGTTACGTAAAAAGTAATCCTAATATTTTCTGGTTGTAGGGTCGGAATGTACCATATTTCTAAAAATGATTTTAGGTCTTTTTCGTAGTTGATGTGTTAACTAAAAAATACCCACTTTTATACCCTTGAAGAGGGTATATTGATTTCAGTCAGAAGTTTGCAACGCAGTGAAGGAGACGTTTCCGACCCCATAAAGTATATATATTTTTGATCAGCATGACTAGACGAGTCGATCTAGCCATGTCCGTCTGTCCGTCCGATTCTACGCAAACTAGTCTCTTAGTTTTAAAGCTATCGGGCTGAAACTTTCCCAAAAGTCTTTTTTTTGCAGGTAGTGTATAAGTCGGAACCGGCCGGATCGGACCACTATATCTTATAGCTCCCATAGAAATAATCGTGAAAAAAATTATAGCTTCGGTGTTTTTTAACATATAACCTCCTAAGCTTGGAAATAACATTTTTTTTTATTAGTTTTGAATTTTGAATTAAATTTTATCAAAATCGGAAATCTATATCATATAGCTGCCATAGGAACGATCGGAAATTTGGTGGGAAAATAATAAGAAGCGAATTATAGCTTCGGTGTTTTTTAACATACAACCTCTTACGGTTGGAAATAACATTTTTCAATTAGTTCTGAATTTCGAAGTTAATTTTATTAAAATCGAATGGTTTTATCATAAAATTGGTGGGAAAATAATATGAAACATATTATAGCTACGGTCTTTTTTGACATATTATCTTACACTATTAGGAATATCATTTTTTGTATTTTACAATTTAATAATTATAACTGCAAGGGTATACAAACTTCGGCTTGCCGAAGTTAACTTCCTTTCTTGTTTTTCCTGGGAGTGGAGTGGGAAACGCTTTCTTCTTTCCGAAGACTTTATCTTTTACTCTACGAGTACAGGTATACAAAGGTGGGCGTCACTTAGCGGGACTCCAAAAACGTAACATTTCTTCTAAAATTTTTTATAAGAAATCGGTCTTTTTAGCAGAAGAAAAAACATAAATTGGTTTATGAACATCACATGAGCAATTACCGGGTATTTAAGTTATAAGTAAATGTTTTCTTATTGGTCTATGGCAGGGATGACACATTCCATTTCTAGCATCAATAAGATGAGTTGCGACCCATGCGAATTCGAATGACAGTACCTAGATAAGTTTAATTTTCCCCATTAAGCGAACTTTTGCTTAGTTTTTTAAAATATTTTTAAAGAATTTTCATTACTCACGGTAACACTTACTTTTCCCAAGACTTGCAAATAAATAGTTAAAGCGACTTAAACGGTTTTCTGCCGGAACGACGACATTAATTGACTCATTGATGTTGTGCAAAATGAACCTTATATTTGGGATGCACCATCGCTAGACTGTAAAAAAGCAAAAGAGACACAATCGATTGTATAGTTTTCCATCTTCACCATTTATTTCGCGCAGAAGCCTATGGCTAAACCCTGCACACCGTATTTTATTATTTTATCCAATCACAGCTTTTTCATAATTCAAATATCACAAACAACCAGTTGACAGATAACTAATTATTTTCTTTTTGCGCGCTTCTAATTAATTAATGAAAATAATATTAAGTTATTATGTGTATAGTGCTGCCTATTTAGGTAGGTTTGTACCGTAACAGCACTTTTCATACAGTATGTCTAGATATTGTGTCTAGCCTTAATATTGAAATTACTGGAATCAATTTCCGTAGACAGCTGTCGCAATAATTGTGCGGCGAATTAAAGTTATTCCTGACTCGCTCGCACTCATAAATTAAAGTAACAAATTAAATATGTCATGTGTCTAAGCAAAAAAAATTTTGCACTGGGCGGTACATGTATGTAATGTAAATGATAGATTTTACTTGGCACGCCCACAAACGCCCGTAAGCCTTATTTCTGTATGGCACCTACATTTTTGAAGCTAGAGTTAAGTTCGACATGCGGATTTAGCTCGTGTCTTTTTTGTCAATTTCTTTTGAGTATACTTTTGTTTGATTTAATATGTCAATATCTATTAGTGTGCCAAGATAGATTAAGTCGGTCCATTACCTAGGAAGGTAAATTGCTGATTAACAGGTATACTCGTATGATAGACAAGACACTCGGCTATAGCGAACCACAAAAATCTAATGAAAACGCTCATTATGAGCACAACAGTTGATGTGGGTGCTAAGAGGGGGTGCATTGAGCGACATCCAGGACACATATGACGCCGGGTCTTTACGTGCCACAAAAACGCAATTTAATTTCGACATCCAACGCCTTATTCGCCTAACACCCTCTCCCTCTGTGTATTTTTCAGACGACAATTGGGGTCTAGGACTGGCCATAGCCGCCAACTTGCATGTACCGTATCGCATCGAAATTCGCAGGACAATACGTGACCTGCATTCAAAGGATAAGCCGGGCAAAGGTGAGTACCGTATCTGCTGGTGCCTGGTAAATCTGCAGTGAACCAAAAGAAAACACTTTAAAATATTCTTTAGTTAGAAATTTTTAAAGTTTGAAAATATACTCAAAATTTTAAAGAATACTATCTGAAAATCAATATCTCCAGCTAAAGTTATCCGATTGTAACTGAGTAAAACCTCTATCAAAATGAAAACACTAATTGTTTAATTTCTTAAAAATCAAAACCAAATGAAATTTAATAAAAGTCTTAAAATTTTTTTCAATTTTAATATACGCCCCAGTATGTTACCTACAATCTGTTTTTTTTAAATTAGAGCCTTTTTTGTTTAAAAGATATAGAAATGTTGTTTGTGTTTTTCAACAGTACTGCCATTACTCAGCTTGAGAAATCGTACAAAAAAAGACAACAATTATTAAAATAGGACTAAATTACGGACAAAGGTAAATCATTACTAAATTTAATTTTTTATTATGGTAGAGCACTGAAAATATTTTAAATTTTTAATTTAAAGCACAGGACCTATATTAGTTTGGTGACCGAGTCAATAATTTCGCCATCTTCGGTTGCTTCAAGATGACCTTAACATATTTCCGACAAATCTCCAATGGATAGTGCTTCCTGCACACAAACTTCATCCTTTGGCGTAGGTGGAAAGATAAACTTGTCTGTTGGTGAAAATAGATTTGTGTACATTTGCAATGCTTCCAGTTATTAAATTGCTTTAACCATGATTAACTGAACTTTTAATTAGAAATGGGCTTACCCATCTTGAAATTGAACAGAAATAGTGATGGGTGCAAGTGTACTCTGACCATACTACAAACACAAAACGGTACACTGATAGCTATTCAGAACTATCGAACGATACCCAAAGGTCTATATTAAAAAAAATTAAATTCTGTTTGAATAGAAAAAAGGACAGACTTTCGGACAGGGAATGCTTCATTTTTTTCGTCTGAGGCAGTTTAAAAATGGACAAGTCCGCCCGGAAGAAGGACAAAATGGCAGCACTGTCACTCATCCCGCTCACTCTTTTACTTATGGCCATAAGCATCTAATAGGGTTTGCGAGACAGACTGTTAAAAGCCTCAGAAACAGAAACGACAATAGCCCTGATACACGTGTTTACCTAATTATCGAATAGTCAAAATGTGAAAAAAAAGATTCAGGTAAATCAAATATGTTAAAAAAAATATTTCTTGTGAAATACGTTCGGGTTGTAAAAGAACGGCCCATATGTATGGTTTCTGTACACCCAAAAATGACCTTTAGTCCATTGACTTTAAATTTGCGAATAATTTTACCTAAAGGGTATATAAACTTCGGCTTGTCGAAATGTTGACATTTCCCTGCAGCAAATGCTGATTGCACTTCGGTTCGCCTTTCAGCAATTATTATCACCGCTCCGCTGAACGATGCGAGTGCCATACGTATGCTAACCAGCATTGAGGTGGAGTGGGCAAAGCAGGCCAAGAAGGATGCGGTGGATTCGGGGCCCTCAAGACAGAACACCAAAATTCTACTTATCGACATGGCGGCCAGCTCATTGGACATCCAGCATCGGTTCTACAAACGATTGGCACGGATCAGTGGGTCAGAGAACGGCGGCTTTGGAGGTAACTCGAGCTCTCCGGCCGGAAGGGTCAGCAGCAATCTGTTGGTGCTGACTCTGCTAAGCGATAGACATCGACACTTTCTGAATGCGGCCGGACTGATGGCAACAATGCGGAATTTTCGCCCACCCCTCGGAAATGTTGAAAATGGAAACATCACTACACCACCGCCCAATGGCCATCGCAATGCCAGCCTGGAGAAACTGTACCCGTATCGCAACCTCTTTCCACTCTATGACACGGTTGTAGATACTGCCACCCAATCGAACACACTGAAAGCGAGTCCCAAATACGATTTCGTGGTGCTGGACATCGTTTGGGATGTCAAGTCGGCCGGATACAAGTGCCGACCTCTGCTCATCCTGGAGAGTGAAGGAGGGAGGCAAGAGGGTGGTTCTGGGGGCGGAGCGAGGGACACCTACATCACCCACTCTGTACAGCCAGGATACGACGAGTGGCTGCTGGTCAGCAGCGTCCTTTTGTGGCAGTGCGGCGCCATCTGCTGGACAATCGCGGCGATCTGCGTGTTCCTCCTTGTCGTTATCCTGGCGGGTATTGTGGCTGCAGGGATTACCATGAGGTAAGTCGATTGACGACTTCATTTTAGTTTAACGTTCCAGTAGGTACATATACAGTTTAGCTTGCAGTAGGGCTCTTATGTATATGGGTCTATAGAGTGGGTCGTTAGCGAGAGAAAAGATTTTTTTAAGTCCATCCGACCACTTTGCAATGAAAAGAAAGTTACCATTGGTAAAAATTGGAAATGAAACCAACCAAATGCTCTAATCATTTTGTTCTGATAGAAAGTAACTTTTAGTTATTCTCTTACTTTATTATTACATATGCTAAAAAACTATTACAAAGGCTGAAACTAGTCACAGCTCTATTAAGTTTTAACAGGAACCATTTAGGGTATTTCCTTATTTGCTGAAATTTTGTGTTGAATCAACTCTTCAGTTTATGGATTACCCAGTTAGATTGAAGAAATGTTAACAAGTTGTTTAATTCCATAAAATTTCTAACTCCTGCAGGAACTACTTCTTACGTAAACGTCTCTCCAAGGACCCAACAAGATAGTGCTTTCCGCCAGCGACTTCGTTTTCCCCGTGGATTCTCGAAGGGTGAGCAAAATTACAAACCTCTTTCTACATCCTCGCTCCACTTTTTATATATTATTCTAAATATTCCATCGGATTTTAGGTTGATGAGGGCATAGAGGCCATGCTCTGTTGTTGGCTGCAGCAGCTGCAGGAGTTCGGTGGGCCGGAAGTAGATAAGCCGGATCTCCTCAAAGGCTCCATAGGATCCCTAAAAATTTAGGATTCGTAATTCCGGGTGCAGCTGCTCCGGGAAGTTCAGCTGGAGCCATCGCATCAACAGCAAATGGGAAACGCGCATCCTCCGCCACGGGCAGTTTGGCCAGGCACAATCCTGCCCACCTGGACATGAGAGCTCGATATAATGGTGATCTCGTGCAGCTCAAGGAGGTACATATGAACGGTTCCTCGGAGTTGCGCACCAAAGCGATGGATCTACTCGTGATGGCCCATGGTCTCAGGCATGAAAACATCAATCCGTTAATTGGATGGCTATCCGATCCCAATCGCACAGCCATGGTTTTCGATTACTGCTCGAGGGGATCGCTACAGGATGTGCTAATCATGGATGAGATCAAACTGGACTGGTCTTTCCGTTTGAGCTTACTTACCGACCTGGTGAGGGGCATGCGATACCTACACACCTCTCCCTTGAGGGTTCATGGAGCCTTGACCTCTAGAAACTGCGTAGTGGATGCCAGATGGGTCTTGAAGATCACCGACTACGGCTTGAACTCTTTTTACGAATCGCAGGGACTGCCGCCAAGGCCCAGAAGTGCCAAGGAACTGTTGTGGACAGCTCCAGAACTTCTTCGGAGCATGAAGCACTTTCACAGCATCATCACCATCACCACCAGCACGGACGTATTCAGTTGGGGACCCAACTCGGAGATGTATACTCCTTCGGAATCATCATGCAAGAGGTGGTAGTGAGGGGAGAGCCCTACTGTATGCTCTCCCTGGCTCCAGAGGAAATAATAGCCAAAATCAAGAAACCTCCTCCTCTGATTCGGCCCTCTGTCTCCAAGGGAGCAGCTCCGCCGGAGGCAATAAATATTATGCGTCAGTGCTGGGCCGAGCAGCCCGACATGCGTCCCGATTTCAACTCGTAAGTAATAACCACATTTTTAAATGTTGTCATGGAAAATGTGGGGGAGGGTGGGGCTAAGCCGACCAACCAAAGAAGATGTAAAATCAGATACCAAACAAGTTAAAAGCCTCTTTTAAAAAGTGTGATTTAAATACAAGGAAGAACGCTATAGTCGAGTACCTCGACTGTCAGAGACCCTTTATTCAGCTAAAGGGACCAAAGGGAAATGGAGATATGCAAGGCACAAAGCGAGATTGAAATGCGCCACCTACCCGCGATCTTAATATATGGTTTTGTGGGCGGTAGACGGATTTAACTGTTGTGGGCGTTAGAGTTTAAATTTTTTTGGATCAATCGATAGGTATTGACGAGACTAAAAAAGATCAGTTAAAATGTTTTATCTAGCATGAAAATTGTGGGCGCCACAGGTTTGGGCGGTTTGTGTGCGTTAGAATGAGCGAGGCATATTCGCGTAACAAACTGGAGCTTCGTACAAGGCTACGGAATCTAATCTGAAATCCCAATTGTCTATCTTTGATAGTTTCCAAGATGTCCGCGTTCAGACTTACGATTATTTGAAGTTTTTGGGCGCTAAAGTGGGCGTGCCAAACTTTTTATTGGGTCAATCAATAGGTATTGATGACAACAATACATTTCGGTTAAAATTGTTATTCTAGCATCAAAACTGTTTGTGGGCGATAGAGTGGGCGTGGCACCCTGATGAAACAAAATTGCGCTGCGCAAGAAGTTCAGGAATCTGCATGCCAAATCCCAATGATTCCGAGATCTCAGCGTTCATATGGACAGACGGACATGCCTAGATCGACTCGGCTAGTGATCCTGATCAAGACATATATACTTTATGGGGTCGGAAACGCTTCCTTCTGCCTGTTACATACTTTCCGACGAATCTAGTATACCCTTTTACTCTACGAGTAGCGTGGTTTTTCGTGGTTTTTTTCTTTGAATATATTTTTATCTCCAAAGCCCCTAGTGCGACTATACGACTATAGCATTTTCTCTTCCTTTTTTATGGTTCTGATTTGTTTAGGTGGAAAGTAAGAACTAGGAAATATATTTTATATACAATTTGCAATTAGTTTATTATTGTTATATTTCATTCTCGCCTCTAAGCGTTTACGAACGCTTTAAAATGCTGAACCATGGTCGGAAGGTAAATTTTGTTGACACAATGTTTCAAATGCTCGAGAAATACTCAAACAACCTGGAGGAGTTGATTCGGGAACGCACCGAACAACTGGACATTGAACGAAAGAAGACTGAGCAGCTGCTGAATCGCATGTTGCCAAGGTAAGCTCCCGCCATTGTCCAACTAATCAATATAAAAGTATAAATTCTAAATATACCTTGTAACTCTTGTGCTCAGCTCCGTTGCTGAAAAATTGAAGATGGGCTTGGCCGTCGACCCGGAAGAATTTTCGGACGTGACCATATACTTTAGCGACATTGTTGGTTTTACAACAATCGCCGCACATTGCAGCCCTGTACAGGTTGTAGATTTGCTCAACGATCTCTACACGATCTTCGATGCCACGATCAATGCCTATAATGTTTATAAGGTAAGATATTCGGTTTTAATAACGCAACACAAATGCAAATATCGCAAGGTGGGGGTAATTCGATTGATTAACATGCTTAACACTTGTTTACAAAATAATATTTTAAAAATGCTCGAAGAAGGATGATGGTAGTTCATTGTAGATTTGGACCCCTACCCTAGACCACAAAATAGAAGTCAAAAAATTGACTTTCAGTATTGACCAATTCATAATATTCCCCTAGGCAGAGTTGTGAAACTTTTTTATCTGGAAATTTCGGCAATATCGCTAAAACTGTTTAACAATTAAAAATACTCATTTTTCGGTATAGGTATAGTTAAATATTATGTTTATGTGCTTAAGTAGTTTTTATCAATTCTCTATTTTAAGAACGTTAAGAACAGAAGTTTCAAACACTGCGTTTTTTTTGTGATCTAGGGGTCTACCACTACCAGGAACTACCATCATTCTTCTTGGAGCATTTCGGGTAAACTATTCTAATCACTGAACGACAAAACGCGGAGTGATGAAGTGCATGAGGAGAGTGTGTGATAGCAGATGCTTTTTGAACTAGACATTTTTTTACGCTTCCTGGCGAGGGAAGAGGGTAGATGGAGCAGGTTTTGTGGGGTGCCATCAAGAATAAGGGGTATAGCAATCAGCCAGAGACGACTGAAGGCCTAAAGCACGAGATTTAAGTCTATATTAAGGACGATATCATAAACATTGGGTCGACCGGATGGCCTATTGGCTACGGAAAGGATGAAAGGCTTCCCGAAACAGCCGTAGGAATAAGGAGGTATTCCACAAATAACCCGAAATATTTGGGCTTTTCAATAAAAACAAGAGAGAGCGCTATATTCGGTGGCGGCGATACCCCTTACGAAGGTTGGTGGAGTGCGAGAGAGATTGTTTATAATTTGCTTATAATTTTTAAATGGTTGGTTCGATTTGAACGATTTGGCAAGTAAAAAATAATATTATTGATAACCAAATCAAAATCCCATTTACATGTGAGCGCAAGGCAGGAGTTGGCACTATGGGCGTTAGGGTGGGCGTGGCCACCTGCTGAAAGGCACTTGCGCTGCGAAAGAATCTCTAGAATCTGCTTGCCTATTTCTAACTTTTACAGTTTTCGAGATATCTGCGTTTTTACTTTCATTCGGCTAGTGATCCTTATTAAGAACATATAACACTGTGGAACAAAAAAGGACAAATTAAATAAAATAAAAACAAATTAATACAACATTTATCTCTTAATTTATACTTTTTTCTCCACTTGTCATCAACAATTGTTTGTTTGTGTTTAAGATATTGAATTTAATGTGAAATGCCCTCTGAGGGCATTGTAGGTGACAATCGGGGACTTATATTAAAAATTAAAAAAAAAAAATGTTTTGTGAGCAAAACTAAAAAACTTTTTTTAAGTAAAAATTTTTTTTCTTTTCAAGAAAATTAAAACAAATTAGAACATTTGTGTTTAAAAGTAGAGGTTTAAGAGAAATAAATACAAAAACCGGAGATATAGATTTTCAATAGTATACTTTAATAAATGTGTACCTAAAATAGGGGTTCGGCTTGTAAGGAACAGCTGTATCTCCTTTGCGCACTCTTTAGCTGAGTAACGGGTATCTAACAGTCGAAGCTCTCAACTAAAGCGTGCTCCCTTATTATACCATTTATTCGCAGAGTAAAAGGGTATATTAGATTCGTCGGAAAGTACGTAAAAGGTAGTGTTCGGAGCAGATCGCCAGCGCCTAGTCATGCGCGCATAGGTGTACGACGGCACCTGCATCGCTCTCTGCTTATCTTTCGCCTTCTTTCTTATACCCATAAAGCTGTCGCTTATCTATTCAGCAACTACTTTGTAAGCCTGCATATGTCTATATGAAGATCTTGGAGCCAAGCTTTTTTCACATTCACAGTCCGTCTGCCGCTCCGAATAAAAGCTATACATTTTAATATAACCTATTCGTGCGTTATTAATTATAAATATAAGGGTGGCATATTTGTTGTCTTCCCCATAAACATTTGGTGACCCCGACGTGATAGCAGTTTTAATCGGAGTCTGCAACTCGGTTTCGCGATTGTTTAATATAGTTTAAACAAACGCTTTGTTTCGCTGTCTTTATCGTGCATTCGGTCACAAACAGACAAACATACATACATATGTGCATATAAAAGTGCACAGCCGGCCGTTTGATTTTTTGTACATTTTGCGCTGTGAAAAAGCACCAAATTTGTGTTGTGCAAATAATTCTTAACAAAGTGAATCGCATTTAATCTTTGTTAATAGCGCATATTACATATATACATGTACATATAGCCATACATACATTCGTTTGCCAGTTACATAATCCGCTGTTGCTAGGCAGGCAATTTATCGGCAAGAACAACAACAACAAAGTTAAAGGTTCCGTTGCATCTCGGCGACGCTTGTTAACCTTCACGTTTTCGCGGTAAAGGGTATACGGTGTTTTGTGCCTCTAACGCGGTCGGACATTTTACTTTACTTCATTTTCATTTCATTTTTTTTCTTTTTCGTGATTGAAAAATGTCTGATACGGAAAACTCGGTTCGGGCTCAAAATGAATCCACAAGTGACGTCGACTACTACCGAGTCAAAGCCCAATCTATTTTGCGGCAAATGAGCTCGATGAAGTGCTATTTAAACGCTGATGCGGTTAATCAGTTTGACGAATCTGATTTGCTGGCGCGAATGGAATGGATCAATTCCTTAAACCAGGCATTTGATTCTGCGCAGACATCGTTGGAAAGACTGGACTTTGCAGAGATCTCGAGCGACCATCGGATTGAATTTGCTGAAGTCTTCATGGATGTGAAGGCGAAACTAAGCCGAGGCTTGGCGGCTCATCGCAAGTCACAATTGCCGGCTTCAACCGCTGCAAATTCAACATCTATTGACATCACTAATAATGCGGATCTTTCTTTTCGATCTAGAAAGCCTCGGTTGCCAAATTTGGAAATTGCTCGTTTTCATGGATCCTACTCTGAGTGGCCGGATTTTCTTGCGACTTTCACTACGGTCATCGGAAATGATGATGAGCTAAGCGACATTGAAAAATTACAATATTTGCGTTCGAGTTTGGGCGGCGTGGCTCTGGAAACCATACGATCGCTCGAACCCTCGAATGCTAATTTTAAAAAGGCTATGAATTTGCTGGTTAATCGATTTGATAATAAAGTTTTACACTTTCAGGCACATGTTCAGGCAATATTCGGTTTAAAGGGTGTCGAGAAGGGATCTTCGAAGGGTCTTCGGGAGCTGAGCGATTGCATGAATTCGCATCTGCGAGCAATTCGAACCCTGGCCAATACGCAACAAATTTTGGATGGACTTTTAATTCACATCGTCACTCGGAAACTGGATCAGAGGACGCGGGAAAAATGGGAAGAGGATTCGTCCATCACTGAGCTGTCTACCTGGGATGCTATGGAGTCGTTTTTGGAAAAGAGGTGCAGGATGATGGAAAACTTGGATCAAGCCTTGGTAACTCAAACACCAGGCCAGCAGGTGGGAAAAAACTTGCACAAATATAACCAAAATACACTTATTGCATCTGCTACTAACTCAAATCATTTGACATGCTTATTTTGCGATGCACGGGATCATTATTTGCCAAAGTGTCCTCGATTTTTAAATTTGAGTCCGAATCTTCGATATAGAGAAGCAAAGAAGTTGCACCTTTGCCTCAACTGTTTGCGCAAGGGGCATAGTTTGCAGCAATGCAAGTCGACTCACTGCAAGTATTGTCGCATGAAGCATCATTCATTATTACACATGAACCATGACCCATCCGCAACATCAACCTCATTTTCATCTTCATCATGCGATCCATCCTCGAGCTCTCAGCCATTACCATCTACTTCATCAGCATTAGTATCATGTTCGCATACATCATCGCATCCTGATCATCATTTACCAAGCCCTCCACCCAAAGCCTTAAATATTTTGCCGATCGACTACGTGTTGCTTCCAACTGCTATTATCTACGTCAGAAATAGAATTGGAGCATTTATGCCTTGCCGAGCAATTTTAGATTCGGCCTCCCAGCTAAACTTCATAACCTCTCGCTTAGCCAGCCAACTAAACTTGAATCACAGAAGATCGCAAACGTCGATTTCTGGGATAGGAGAATCTTCCATGATCTCTGATAAGACTGTCGATATTCTTGTGCAATCACGGGATGCAAGCTATCGAGCGGCATTCACAGCGGTTGTGACTCACAGTATTACTGATTATCAACCCCATTTCAATATAAATGCAACATCGTGGAGGATACCGCAAAATATTTCACTCGCTGACCCTAATTTCAATCAATCACAACGAATTGACCTTTTACTCGGCGCTGGGTTGTTTTTCGAAATAATTTCTATGGGACAAATTCATTTGGATAGGGCTTTGCCAACTCTTCAGAACACCAAGCTTGGTTGGATAGTCTCTGGAGGGTTATCATCGAACATGCCAACTCATAAGTCGGTTTTACAAGCCAGCATCAAGGACCCAGCTGATTATTCCGATGACACACTTTCCGCCATTGTAAAGCGATTTTGGGAAATTGAGGACTTCACTTCGTCTAAGCCATCTTTATTGCCGGAAGACTTGCGATGTGAGCAACTTTTTACTGAAAATTGCATTCGACTTGGAAACGGCCAATACTCTGTTCGTCTCTTGACCACTTCCGGATTCGAATCTTTAGGTGATTCTTATTGCTTGGCTCGTCGTCGTTTCAAGAGTTTGGAAGCTAAATTAGATAGAAACCCAGCCCTGAAAGCTCAGTATTCAGCATTTTTGAGGGAGTATATCGACCTAGGTCACATGTCTCTTGTAACTAAGGAACCGCCAGAAACACAATTCTTTTTGCCCCATCATTGCGTACATAAGCAGGAAAGCACGAGTACGAAGCTTCGTGTCGTTTTTGATGGATCTGCTAAAACAACTTCTGGTAGCTCTCTGAACGACTTACTTCTGGCAGGACCAACAATTCAACAAAAAATCTTCAATATACTGCTTCGCTTTCGATTTTTTAAAGTTGCCCTTTGTGGAGATATCTGCAAGATGTACCGTTGCGTGCGTGTTTCGTACCCGGATGATTTCTTGCAGTGCATCGTTTGGAGAGAGAGCTCCAGGAAAGAATTGAGTGTTTTTAAATTGAACACGGTGACTTACGGAACCAAGCCAGCTGCCTTCTTGGCTATAAGGGCCATGCATCAACTCTCTTACGATGAGGAGGAATCATTTCCTATTGGAGCAAAAATTGTTCGTAGAGATTTCTATGTGGATGATTTAATATCTGGTGGGGACTCAGTTGAGGAGGTGAGAGAAATTCGTCGTCAGGTGAAGGAATTACTGTCGCGAGGCCACTTTCCAATTCGCAAATGGTGTTCGAATGAGTCAGCAGCCCTGAAGGGAGAGTCTGAATGCGACAAGGAGCAGTTAATCAAATTTCACGATGGATCGGATGTCGCCAAGGCATTGGGACTAGTCTGGGATCCATCTTCTGATCAGCTCCTATTTTATTTTTCTCAACTGCCAATCAATCAACGACCCACTAAGCGGGTTGCATTGTCGACGATTGCCAAATTCTATGATCCACTCGGTTTAATAACTCCTATTATCACAAAATCTAAGATTTTTCTGCAATCTCTATGGAGTGCGAACGTGGATTGGGATGATGCACTGCCAGAGCCCATTCTTTCGTCATGGGGGGAGTTGACCTCACAGTTATCGGTCGTACAGAACTTAAAATTCCCACGATTCGTACTGCAACCAAGGGCTTCCGTTGAGTTGCATGGATTCTGCGATGCTAGCATGTCAGCTTATGGAGCGTGTCTATACTTGCGATCGGAGACCAATGGAGAATCGAAAGTCCATCTGCTCTGTGCCAAGTCAAGGGTAGCTCCATTGAAGGCCTTAACAATTCCAAGATTAGAACTTTCCGCAGCGCTTTTATTGGCTGAGCTAATCGTAAACGCCAGGGAAGCCATAGATTTCGATTGCACCTTTCATTGCTGGTCGGACTCGTCCATTGTGTTGGCGTGGATTCGGCAACCTCCGAGGGAGTTTAACGTTTTCGTATCAAACAGAATCGCGAAAATTCAGGAGATGACGAAAGACATGTCTTGGCATCACGTTCCTACAAACTTGAACCCGGCAGACGTCGTATCGCGAGGATGTACCCCAAGAGAATTGTTGGAACATTCCCTTTGGGCTAACGGGCCTCCATTCCTTCTGCAAGGCTCGTCAAATTGGCCGTCCCTGCTAGACTCAGTAAAGGATCTTCCAGAGCGCCGTTCTGTGGCTCTAATTGGGGCCGTTTGCATAGACAGTTCATCAAACTGCAAATTCCTCAACTCTTTCGATAAGTTGCAGCGCGTATTTGCATACATTTATCGATTCATTTCAAATTGCAGAGCCAAATCTGCGCCGTTAAAAGGTCGACTTTCGGTGGAGGAGATCAACTCTGGAACTGTACTTCTTCTGAGGAGCATCCAACAGGTTAACTTGGCGAAGGAGTATGGAGCTCTTAGCCAGGGCAAGCCGTTTCCACAGAAAAGCAAGCTGGTTTCGCTTAGACCTATACTCGGCTCCGATGGGTTACTTCGCGTGGGTGGAAGGCTTCAGAACGCAAACTTGGACTACGACACGAGGCATCCGATACTGTTGCCCAAGGATCATCCAGTCACCAAGGCGATCATCGTTTATTATCATGAGAAATATTTGCATGGAGGATCGCAGGCGCTGCTTGCCGCATTACGGCAAAGGTACTGGCCGATTGGAGGCCGCAAGTTCGTCGCCAGCGTTATCAACAAATGCGTCCGATGTTTCCGAATGAAGCCTGTTACTTGGGAGCACGTCATGGGTAGCCTTCCAGCAAATAGAGTGCAGCCTAATCCAGCTTTTCATACCACAGGAGTGGACTATTGTGGGCCATTCTATCATAAAGCAGAGGCCAGAAATAAGGCACCCCACAAGTGCTATATCGCCGTCTTTGTCTGTTTTTCCACGAAGGCTGCTCATTTGGAAGTGGTCCAGGATCTCACGACGGATTCTTTCATCGCAGCGCTGAGGAGATTCATCAGCCTTAGAGGCAGTCCGCGTACCATTTGGAGCGACAATGCTACAAACTTTGTCGGTGCAAAGAGAGAGCTTGCCGAGCTGAAAGAGCTCTTTTTGAGCGAGCAGCACACAGCATCGATATCTTCCGTCTGTTTAGCTGATGGGATCGATTGGAAGTTCATCCCTCCGCGTGCCCCGCACTTCGGTGGTTTATGGGAGGCCGCTGTGAAGTCAGCTAAATTTCACTTCTACAGAGTCGTCGGTGCATCCATCTTAGCCATCGATGAATTAAGAACTCTTGCATATGAGATTTCTGCCATCCTTAACTCCCGTCCACTCTGTCCAATTTCAGAAAATGCTGAAAGCCTTGAGGTGCTAACACCGGCGCATTTCCTGAAGGGTTCCAGCTACACTAAGTTTCCTGAGCCTGGCATTACTCATCTCCGCGAAGACCGCCTCAGCAGATGGCAGCGGGTTACCCAGATGCAGCAACATTTCTGGAAAAGGTGGAGCAGCGAGTATTTGTCCCTACTTCAAGAGAGGAGCAAGTGGCGCGTCGAAACGTCTAACATCAAGGTTGGACGCATAGTTTTGCTTAAGGAGGACAACGTTCCACCCTTGAGATGGCAGCTTGGGTGCATCCAAGAAGTCATACCCGGCGGGGACGGAGTCATCAGAGTAGCTATGGTCCGTACAGCTACGGGTCTGATCAAGAGAGCCGTCGCCAAGCTAGCCGTTCTGCCCATCGATTCCGAGATAGTTGGAACCTTACCTCTTCCAACGGGGGGAGTATGTTCGGAGCAGATCGCCAGCGCCTAGTCATGCGCGCATAGGTGTACGACGGCACCTGCATCGCTCTCTGCTTATCTTTCGCCTTCTTTCTTATACCCATAAAGCTGTCGCTTATCTATTCAGCAACTACTTTGTAAGCCTGCATATGTCTATATGAAGATCTTGGAGCCAAGCTTTTTTCACATTCACAGTCCGTCTGCCGCTCCGAATAAAAGCTATACATTTTAATATAACCTATTCGTGCGTTATTAATTATAAATATAAGGGTGGCATATTTGTTGTCTTCCCCATAAACAGGTAGAAAGAACCTTTCCCGACCCTATAAAGAATATATATTTTTGATAGGGATCAGTAGCCGAGTCAAACTAGCCATGTCCGTCCGGCCTTATGAAAGCTAAGATCTTGGAAACCATAAGATCTAAAAAGTTGGGATTAAATATACAGATTCTTTGAACTCTTACGCAGCGCAAGTTTGTTTCAGGGGAGTGCCACGCGTACTCTAACTCCCTCAAGCCCCCATAACGCTAAATTCTGTCGAACGCCCACATTTTTGAGGATTTTGTAACCCTCTCCCTAATATTATATGTGCCAGCTATTTATTTTTCTAATGACAGTCAATTATAATTATAAGTTGAGAAAATAAGAGTGATGAGAGTTTATTAAATTAATTTCCCACTTCTTTGTTAGGTTGAGACAATAGGCGATGCATATATGGTGGTGAGCGGGCTTCCCGTGAAAATACCCGATCATGCCGAGCAGATAGCTACCATGGCCTTGGACCTGCTGCACCAGAGTGGTCGCTTCAACGTGAAACATCTGCCGGGAGTTCCACTCCAACTGAGGATTGGTCTCCACACGGGACCCTGTTGTGCCGGAGTGGTTGGTCTTACGATGCCTAGGTACTGTTTATTCGGGGACACAGTCAACACGGCATCCCGAATGGAGTCAACCGGTAATTGCAGACGGACTTTTCTTGATGGTCACACTTTTTGAGAATAAAATCTATATTTTAGGATCCTCCTGGCGCATCCATATGTCCCAGGAGACAAGGGATCGTCTGGAGACTCGCGGTGGCTATGCCATCGAACCAAGGGGCCTCATCGACATTAAGGGCAAGGGCATGATGAACACCTTTTGGCTGCTGGGAAAAAAGGGATTCGATAAGCCGCTGCCGGTACCACCACCTATTGGGTAAGCATGAACAAATGTAAAGTAATTTTTCATATGGTTTTTGGGTCAGCAACAAGCATTCATAACTTTTTTATAACGGTGCACATCATAGCTGGTACAAAATCATCATAATCTGTTGGTGTGTCTTAAAATATAGTGCTTAAACAAAGGAATTTGATAAAAATTAGTTTTCTACAAATTAAAAAAAAACGAATGTAGTGTTTTTTCTGGGGGTTTTAGTTTTTAAAATGAGAAAAAAAAATAAAATCTCCTACTATTCTGTTTGCTTTTGAAATGTTGAATTTGTAAAAAAAACGTTTAGAAACTTTTTCAGTAAGCGAGTCTACCGGTTTCCAAGACGTGGTTTCCAAAAAAAACTCTATGGAAATGCGTTGCGTCATAGAGAAATAAATCTTTTAATTCCCATAACTCCCATCGCACTATGGGTAGTTTAAACACTTTTGTTTGTCCAAAACCCATTTTTTTAAAGTCGTTAGACATTGGTTTGTGTGCATCACTGTTAGGTTATCAGCTGTCAAAGCATGTTTGTATTTCAACGAGGTGGCAACGGCGGTAAAAAAAAAAAACTTAAAAGTTTAAGTTGTCAAAAAGTGTTAAAATAAATAGTACAGTTTTTGAAACAGCGCAATCAGAAGGGTTTTTAAGTTGAGTTTGTGACCTTCATATTGTATTAATTGATTTTTGTGCTCGTATAATCGTGTGTAAGTTCTAACCTCATAAAAACTATAAACTTTAATTGAACTACTGTTCAACCTTGTAGAGTATTTAATTCTGATTAAACTTAGTTAGTATAAAAGTGCAGTTTTGCGCACATTCTCAAAAATTTTACTTTTAAAATCTATACCTAAAGTTCTACAACTCCCGAATCTTAGTAATTATCACTAAAAAGTAAAGTAAATGAAATATTAAAAAAAACAGTATGTAATAATTTTGGTTGTAATCTAGATAACTTGCAGAAATAGATTTTTTAAACCCTTTTCTTACTTTTTAAAAAGAGTAGAACTAAAACCAACACAGAACAGCGCGCCAAGCTACCTAAAATTCTACGTCACTTGCTTATTACTTAATATAGGAACTAAAGCTTTATGAACAGTGAAGGAGACGTTTCCGACCACATAAAGTATACATATTCTTGATCAGCTTGACTAGGCGAGTCGATCTAGCCATGTCCGTCTGTCCGTCCGTTTCTACGCAAACTAGTTATTACTATTTTATCAAAATCAGACGACTCTATCATATAGCTGCCATAGAAACGATCGGAAAATTTGTGGGTAAATAATATAAAACAAATTACAGCTTCGGTGTTTTTTAACATGAAACCTCCTACGCTTGGAAATAACTTTTTTTAATTAGTTCTGAATTTAGAATTTTATTTGATCAAAATCGGACGACTATATCATATTGCTGCCATAGGAACGATCGGAAAACTGGTGGGAAAATAATATGAAACAAATTATAGCTTCGGTGTTTTCTGACATATTATCTTATACTATTGGGAATATCATTTTTTGTATTTTTAAATTTAATAATTTTTGCTGCAAGGGTATACAAGCTTCGGCTTGCCTAAGTAAATTCCTTTCCTGTTTTTTTTTCCAATACTAAACTAACCAACCCAGCTCGGTACAAAAGTGAAAAGCTAAATCGATGTATTACTGTTTTCTCCAATAAGCTTTTCAAAAACTCTTTTACTTTTAAATTTAATTAAAAGTAAGAAAAGACACAAACCTTAATAAATTAATCAATAATAAGTCATATAATTTAAAAAGTTGTGATACAAACTGTCGGTTGAAACCTAAGCCTCGTAGGTTTTAATAATTTCGAAGAGGATCCTTTTTTTAAGGTCTGTCTTAACTTTTGTAAAATAATATAGAAAAAACATCAAAAATTATTTTAAACAAATATCTCAACTTTAATATGTAACCATCTAGTTATTAATATAATAATATTAATATCAATATCAAAAATATCGAAACATTTAGGGGAAACACCTTATGTTAAGAATTTAAAAAAATAAATAGTTGTTTATGCTGTCTATATCATTTATGAATTAACTAAGATATTTGTGATCTAATCAAATGTTTACTTTTCAACACATGCATTTCACAAATTATATAAGGGAGTCGCACGGGTATGTTAAAGCTTCTTGTATTTTAGCTATAATAGTAGTCCCACATTAATATTTCTCCACAGCTTGGATGAGTCCCTGATCCGCAACTCAATAACCTTGAAGGCTCAGGCCAACAAATCTCGGACGAGCACGAATCCTTCATCTTCGCAGAGCTCCTCCCTGGCTGGGGAATCCGTAGAGGTAAAGGTCGAGATAACTCCACCCACCAACGCGGATCTAGGTTCCGGGGCCAATCTTCCCAACTCGTACTCCCTGGACTCCAACTCCACCAACACAATCAGCCCAAATGCGACCCTCTGTCCGGAGTTTCCAGGAAAAATAACGCCCAGCAGTACGAGTCCACAGTCGCGCAAGCTCTCCGAACTAACGCCGGATAATCTGCTCAACCCGAACAGCTTCAACCGGTTGCCAAATTCCACTGGAGGATCCAGTTCCCGCCTGTACAAAAAGATAGAGGAGATGATGGACCTCAGTTCGCCCTACAACCATTACAAATGCCTAGTCCCAGCGAGAGTAATCTAACACAGTTCTACGATGGGAAGTACCTTTATAACAGTGCGGGGGCGGAACGGGAAGTGGGCAGGGGGCGGGCGGCACCTGCCCCTCGATGGTCGGAACCGGTAGTGGTTGTGGGGGAGGAGCCGCACGATTCGACAGCAAGCCCGGCTCCACTCGTCTGCTGCGTCGGCAGTTCAGCTTGGATCGCGACGACCAGCACGCGAAGGGAGAGCAGCAGCACCACCAGCACTCCCTGCAGGCCACCACTTACGCGGCCTTGGTGGGGGGTGGTGGTGGGGTGGTGAAGAGCTCCATGCTGGACATACCCCTGTTGCACGACACCTCCCGAAGTCCGAAGGGAACGCTAACGCGGGCCCACAAGCAAAACTCCGCCTCGATCACCCAGGACCTGGAGAAGATTGAGGAAATCCCGCTGTCCCCGGCCTCCTCGCAGCACCACAGTAGCCTCGACAGCAACCTCAACCGCAGCCCGCCCTCGACCCTGGAGGCGCGGTCGCCGCCGCTGCCGCCCTTAAGTCCGCCCCAGCTCTCCGCCCCCACATCGCCGGCCCCTTCCAGGACGTTGAATGGGGTTTATGCCCTCAGCAACAATAGTGCGAACTACAGTGACTTCCAGTCCCAAGGTGCGGCCAACAACAATAATGGCACCCATCCAGGCCCAGAACTAACCCTCAATGTGGATCAGCTGCTGAGCAGATAGGGCACAATCTAAGGCCCCCAAGAAGGGAGGCCCATCTAAGCTTTAGGTCTCATCCAAACCCAGTTTGGATGTGCGAGTGTGTGAGTGGACGGGATATCGTATAGGGGAAAGGTGGTTTACACCATGCTCCATTGTCACATTCATAACAGATGCGTTGTCAAAATATTTAGGCCTGCTCCTGTTTTCACTCGGAAGTGAGTTCGTTGGCATTGTGGGATTTCCCATGCACATAATCAAATTTGTTTGCGTGTTGGGTAATTTTCCAAGGAAAATTGCCGAACTTAACTTTGCCTTCGTTTTTCGACAAAGACCCGATTTTATTTTGTGTATACAATGTATGTATACAAACATAAATGTATACATACACGATGTATACTTTTAAATCATAACATCCAAGAAACAAACAATATACACAAATTGCAGTCCATTAGTAAATTCTTACCATATGAACATTAAACATCAAGTACTATGATAAAAGCAGCATTTGCATACAAAGCTATAGCGAAGAATTTTTAGACAATTCATTTTCATGCTTTGCGTTGGCATTGTAACAACAGGGGGAAATTCGAATCCGTGCTGTTTTTTTCGAAAGTGAGGCTCGGAACAGGTCTGTGAAATTCAAATCTTTCGGAAGTGAAGAGCCAGACGTGACATAGTAAAAAATTATACACGGATTGCATTTCCCAAACAATTTTTCCCAGCCCCAAAGTGTCAAGTGAGAAAGTAAATGGTAACGATTTAAAAATGTTGTGATGTGGAAAGCAAAGTACCTCGATGCGCACCAGTTTGATTCCAACTGCAAACGAAAGTACAATTTAGTTAAAAATTAGTTCAAGATGAACAACTCACTCTTTTTTGTCCATTGGCAAAATCAGCGTTATGCCAAATAAAATACGTAATATGTACGTTTTTCTACAAACAAATAATCGATTAGTAAAATTGTCCAATATAATAGTAAAGCGGTCTCCAACCATCGAATTGTCAAATTTACCCATCAAATAGTAACTCTTACGCAATACGTAAATTTAAGGGTTACTATAAAAAATAATAATGTACATGTGAAAGGGGTAGAATACACCCAAACCATGGATTGTAGTTAAATAACTATTTTTATAGTTACCCACCAACTCATGAAATACAGTTAAGTTTATTTTTGAATTGAATATAAAATTTATCAAATTATTAATTAAATTCATAGATACGTCACTGTAGCAAGGTTATTTATAAGCAAAATAAAAAATTAATTTCTAATTGCACTTTTAAATTTGCACAGTGACTTCCAGCTGGTGAGGAAGTATGTTGACGAGTTTAGAAAACATATGTTTTAAGTAAAGTCTTTTCTTTTCGGAGTTTTGCTTTGCAGTTTAAATGGTCTCGTCGTAGACCCAGTTGGGAATGACAAACTATTTCTGATAGTAAATCAACTATTTACTATTGCAATAACAAAATAAACAGGTAACGTTTTTTTATTATAATCAACAGTGATTACATTACATTTACATTTAAAATAAATTGCTTATTTTATAAAACTTAAAACTTTTTAATATGCCAATCCAATTGTTGTACGTAATCACACAGGGGGTTGGGGGGTCAGCCAAATGATTACTCATGTGAATCAAAATAATATTAATGTTCATTAAATTGATTACATGGGAATAATGAAAAATCGGAAAATTAAAAATTTGAAAACTACTTTTTTATGGTGCTTACAAATTACTTTGTCAACTTGACATATACATGTATTGAATTAATAAACTTATCAACTTGATGGGTATAAATTTATAATAACTACATTTTATTGGTTGGATAATTATAAAAATAGTTGCTTAGCATCAATCCAAGAGTTGTATCCATTCTACCTTTTTTAATAGTTACATAACTCTTTTATATAGTAATCATTAGGCTTACGTATTACGTAAGGGTATCTATTTGATGGGCAAAGTTGACAATTCGATGGTTGGGGACCGTTTTACTATTATATTGGCTTGGATTTTTTTGTATGAAGAAGAAATGTACATTTTAAAGTGTTGTAAGGGCAATGAAATGAAAAGCGAAGCTATATACAGCTGAAGTTTTCACAACTCGAAAGTCGCTTACTCGAAGACTCTTTCAAATGTTCAAATAACTTATAATTCGCAATAAAAGTTATTTAATTTAAAGTTTATAACTATTGAAGTTATTTTACAAAATATGTTCCTGCTATTTTTATTGTCCGTGATTAGTTGTATTGGTCGTTTTATTAGTCTAAAAGCTGCAATCCAGTACAGTATGAGTATTCTTGAGAAGGATTGTCGATTAAGTCATGTTCTATTGTCAGTGCATCCGTTTCTGCACATACATACGTCCAACGGTTCTTATGCTTTCTGGATGAAACTTTCTCAAAAGTTTTATTTCTCTTACGGTTGGTGGCAGTACTCTAGTTTATTTCGCGAAAAAGGTATTCTCGTGGGACCGCGAATTCTTATGAATTTACATGAAAAAACAATGCCGCTGTCAGCCATGGTAATCTTATCATCGAATTTCAAAGTTTCTTTCTAGGTCCAAAACCTACTTTTAGTACTGGCAAGAAAAAAAGTGTTAAGAAATTTTTGTAATTTTTTATATTAGGGATGTATTAAACGCAAGATATTAAAGCCAATTTTTGATTTTAGCTGCAAACGTATATATCTTGGGCTTGCCGAAGATAGCCTCTTTTATATATTAAATTGAAAAAGAATTTGTTTCGGTAAAAACAAATATTTTCTTAAGTCTCTTAAATGGCTGGGGAGGATAACTTTTCTAGAGCGGTCTGAACTTAAAAAACAAGAAATGCTGTAGTCGACTGTTCAAATAAAATGAACACCACCGATACGAGCGCCACGGTTGTTTTGACCAATAAAATCAATTTCAATTTACATTAGTTTTGGCATGTAGGTGGCATAAAACCTCAGCAATCTCACGGACAGACGGACATGGCTAGATCGACTCGGCTAGTGATCCTGATCAAGAATATATATACTTTATGGGGTCGAAAACGCTTCCTTCTACCTGTTACATACTTTCTGGCGAATCTAATATACGCTTTTACTCTTCGAGTAACGGGTATAATGCCTTTAGTCCAGAATACATTTTGTGTCACTCGTGTGGGCTTTCAACTAAACTAAACTTAGAAATATGTACTACTAAGAAATATGTGTACTCGATGTTCCTTAAAAAAATCAAAGAAATAATTAGAATTTAGGTTGTGTGGGAATTAGTAAATATAGCGGAGACTTAATAATATTTATGAAATAAGCATCGCATACGTGAATTTAGTTTTCTAAAGACAATCGTTATTACTTTTAAATGGGAACCTAAAAAATGAAATATTAGGTAAGATTTGCATCCATGTCTCTAACATAAGATATATTTTGTAACCGCTCTAAGATAGCCTAGTTCTAATGTAACCTACTCCCATTCGGCGTGTATGCTAAGCTAAAAATATCCATATATGTATAAGTCAAACTGAAATACCAGTTATAATATACACATATTTTGTAACCCTAGCATTACGAAGTATCAAACTGGACTAACTTTATCTATTTATTTGTTCCCTATGTAATAATTGGTTTCATCTTCAATGCCTGTTCAAATATAAGACAATTACTGTGTCAATTAAGGCAAATAAAAACATGGAAAGCTCGGCGAATAATAAAACATGTATACTTTCCTTGTGTTGTTCTTTTGTCTGTGAAATAGCAATCGTTTCGAGTTATTAAAAATCGCGTTACACTGTCACTTGTTTTTTAAATTGATTTTGTATTTCAATTGTGAATTTTATTCTCTGCTAGAAGCAATGAATATATAAATAAAAACTGAAAACATAAACTTATTAAATATCGCATTATTATTTGCAGGGGAGAGGTCTGTAAGTTGGCAAACTCTTTTTTGATCCCTTAACATATAAAACAAAAAGTGTTATTACTACTTGATAGCTTTAAGTTTTTTACTTTAAATAAAAAATGGAACAAAAGATAACGCTATAGTCCTCGACTATTGGATACCCGTTACTCAGCTAAGTGTAGGGTCAGGATAATCAGTGACTGTCCTGACTCGCAAGTCTTGAGAGTTCCTCTGCAGACGCTGTAAACGCTCGAGTGGCTTCGACATGCGTCTTCGGATTACGCATACAACCTCATTGTATTTGTTTGGGCTCCACTGTATAAGTAACTTGTATCAAAATGTCTACGTCGATGTTTTGGAAACTGTTGTGCTACCATAAACGGAGTTCGAAATGCCTTTGTTTTTTATCCTTCAGCAGGATAATGACACAGAGAATGCGAGCACGAAAGCTTGATCCTGGTATGCGATCAACAACGTTAACGACTTGGAGTTGCCCGCGCAGTCGCCAGACTTCAACCCGATTTAAAAAAGTCAAAAAAATAGTAACAGTAACATTGACCTCTGGGCAACTGTGCAGATCAGTAATAATTTTATTTCAAGGGCATTAGCCGACAAAATCTTAAACATACCCTGTGAAAATCTTTTCTTTTTCGTAAAGATGTGTATAAATTTGGAATTTGATAGTCGTGGGAGTGTTTGGCGCTTGATTTAAACAAAAGTATCCGAGTAGTGAAAGCGGCGTTAAGAAGTTAATGGGATCCAAAGATTTTGTTATAGCAAAAAGATGAAGAAATGATTTTAAAACACGACAGAAATCTATAGTCGAAGGCCCCGACAACCAGGTACCCGTTACTCAGCTAAGAGCAGTGCGAGAGAGATGAAGATACGCAAGCAGCAAAACGACTGTTTCCAAGATTCCACACCACGGGCCACCTAGCGTCGATACTTTTATTTGCTTTTATCTTTTTAAAAAAAGGTCCGATTTGACACGTAGATGGATCTTGATAATCAAATAAAAATCCCATTTACGCTTTTAAAAAATCTTCAAAAATGTGGGCGCTAGGCAGTTTAAGCGCTATGGCGTTTGTGTGAACCATGCTGAAATAAACCATATATTCTTGATCAGCATCAGTTGACGAGTCGATCTAGCCAGTCCGTCTGTCCGTCCGTTTCTACGCCAACTAGTCTCTCAGTTTTAAAGCTACCGGGATGAAAACTCCCAAAAGACTTATTTCTATTGCAGGTAGTATATAAGTCGGAACGAGCTGGTTCGGACAACTGTATCCTATAGCTCCCATAGGGATGATTAAATTTTAATGATTTAAATGATTTTAAATCGAAAAAAATGTAGCTTTGGTGTTTTTTGACATATTAACTTCTACTCTTAAGAATATAATTCCTATATTATTTTATAATTTCGCGTATATCGCAGGATCACTAGCCGAGTCGATCTAGCCATTTCCGTTTGTCCTTATGAACGCTGAAACTACAAGAGCTAGAATGTTGGGACTTAGCATACAGATTCTCTGTCTGTGCAGCGCACTGTGGTCGGGCTTGTATAGATGTGCTATCGCTATGAAACTTTCACCAAAAATCTATCAAAATATTAAAATATATAGTAAAAAAATTGACCAGATCGTACAACTAATCTTGTAGCTTCCTTGGGAACGATTTCATAGTAATTGCGCTTACTGGAGAAAGCAGTCATAAATTCAGTAAATTCATAATTCAGGCTGATATTTTTACTGTAAGTTATTTAACAACCTAGATCTATAATACCTACATGTACGGGTGTGATTACCTGTTTCCACCCCCACGCACACCCTCTCAGATAACAGACAAAAAGCTTAAGATATATACAAATATTTTTAATGTGGAAAACAAACAACAAAACAAAGTCATATTCTTTTTAAGTTGTTTCATTAAGTAATGAATAGTTGACTCTAGTAGCGTTGATTTTTGGTTATAAGTAATAATTAAATAATAAAACAACAAAATAATCTAGAAACATAAAACACATAACAAATAACGCAAAAACAACAACAAACTACAACGGCAACAACAACATAACAGACACAGAACAAAAAAGTGCGTCCCTCCCAGATAGAGCTGCTGAAAAATAAAAGAGGTTATGTTGAATTTTGCAATGGCACATGTGCAGACGCAGGTTTTCGCAGCTGAAGTAAACATTTTTATAATCTAAAAATATTAATAAATAATATAATGTGTACTTTATTGGGGGGCAACGGGGGGAAAACACTTAAATCTTTACCTAAACTTTGTAATGGACAACAAATACAAACTAAAAAAGACGCACTTCTTTAAAAATAGATATAGACAAGACACAGAACAAAATATTTATATATTTATCTGTATAAATAAAGTATATACCACTATGAACAATATTCATTTGAGTTCTATTGATTTTACGGGTTTTTTTAAATTAATTTCCCTTTTTTAAATTTGGGCTGTTGCACTTCACTGCTGGCAAATTGCAAATACGTAAACACGTGCTCGATCTTTTCGTTCTACTTTTAGAGAGTCCCTTTAGAATTGCAAAACAAACGGTATTGTGTCGTTAAGTTTGGACAATCAGCTGTTCGAAAAGTGGTTCGTTGGAATAGCTCAAAATCAATTTTTTCATTTATGACCTATGGCAGCGACCACTGTGCAGCGCAAGTTGGTTTCAGCAGGGTGCCACGCCCGCTCTAACACCCACAAACAACTGCAACCCGTCTAGCGCCCACATTTTGTAACATTTTTTTAAAATTTAAATGACAGTTTGTTCTTACTATCAATTCCCATCTAGTCATTTAAAAGTTATATCCAATTAAAAATCATTATTTTGCAGTTCAATCAAAATTGCACAACACATGCAGCAAATTAGCTGTTTTCACTAACACACCATTTAGGTGGCGCTTTAAAAAAAGAAGATAGGTGGCGCTAGGTGGGGCTTTATCCTAGGTGTGTTAGTTTAAAAAAAGCAGATTTGCTTTAAGCATACATATATCCATCCCTCTCGCACTCCCGTAAGCTGAGTAACGGGTATTTAATAGTCGAGGCCATCGACAATAGCGTTTTCTCTTGTTATACCCTTGCAGAGGGTATTATGATTTCAGTCAGAAGTTTGCAACGCAGTGAAGAAGACGTTTCCGACCCCGAGTCGATCTAGCCATGTCCGTCTGTCCTTCCGTTTCTACGCAAACTAGTCTCTCAGTTTTAAAGCTATCGGGCTGAAACTTTCCCAAAATTCTTATTTCTTTTGCAGGTAGTAAATAAGTCGGAACCAGCCGGATCGGACCACTATATCTTATAGGTCCCATAGGAATAATCGGAATAAAGAAATTTTAAAAATTATATGTATGGTGTTTTTTAACTTATAACCACCTACGCTTGGAAATAACATTTTTTAATTAGTTCTGAACTTCGAACTTAATTTTATCAAAATCGGACGACTGTATCATATAGCTGCCATAGGAACGATCGGAAATTGGTGGGAAAATAATATGAAACAAATTATAGCATCGAAATTTTTTTTTAATATTATCTTATACTATTGGGAATATCATTTTTTGTATTTTTAAGAATTTGAATAAAATTTAATAAAAATCGGATGACTCTAACATATACCTGTCAAAGAAACGGTCAGAGAAATAATGAAATAATTATTTTAAAAAAGCTTGACGTGGTGTTGGGGCTGAGTATGTGAAATGTTTTTAAATATCACTGAAGCTAGCAACAATCCTTAAAAAATTAACATGGTGTTCTTATAACTGCAAGGGTATACAAACTTCGGCTTGCCTTTCTTGTTATACCCGTAACTCGTAGAGCAAATGCGTATACTATATTCGTCGGAAAGTATGTAACAGGCAGAAGGAAGCGTTTCCGACTAAAGTATATACATACATATATTCTTGATCAGGATCACTAGCAGAGTCGATCTAGCCATGTCCGTCTGTCCGGTTGAACGCTGAGATCTCGCTAAGAGCTAGGCTATTGAGATTTGGCGTGAAGATTGCCACGCCCACTCTTACGCCCACAAACGCCAAAACTGTGGCTCTTACAGTTTTGATGCTAGAATTAAAATGTTAACTCAAATGCATTGTTCTCATCAATACCTATTGATTGACCCAAAAAAAAGTTTACCACGCCCACTTTAACGCCCACATTCCCAAGCCTGTGACGCCCACAATTTTCATGCTAGATAAAAAATGTATTGGTCTCGTCAATACCTATCGATTGATCCAAAAAAAAATTTAACACGCCCTTTCTAACGCCCATAACGCTTAAATCCGTCTACCGCCGGTAGGTGGCGAATTTTAATCTCGCTTTGCTGCTTGCATATCTCCATTTCCCTTTGGTCCCTTTAGCTGAGTAAGGGGTATCTGATAGTCGAGGTACTCGATTATAGCGTTCTTCCTTGTTTTTAATTTAAGTTCTTTGTGCACCAGAATTGTGACAAGAATTTTCTTGTTTGCTCCAATTGATTTGTTTTTGCTTGTCAACAAACGCAGCACATTTGGATTACAAATTTAAATTGACTAAAACGTTTGGCTGAAAAAAAATTTTATTTTTAGCTAAAATTTTATAAAATTTAATATAAAAACGCCAGCTTTCAAAAGTACCTCGAATTATAAATCTATATCTCCAGCTGTAGTTGACTGTTTGACTTCGTTTTTGTGTATTTTTTTCTCTAAAACCACCACAAACACCAATATTTTAATTTCTTAAAAATAAAAACGAAAAATTTGTTATATTTTGCCCCACAACAAAATATGTGGTTTTTATACCCGTTACTCGTAGGGTAAAAGGGTTCGTCGGAAAGTA